CTTCCATCTGAGACTGCAGCTGCTCTGAGACCCGTATGTCTGCAATGCTAATTTTAAGGAACACGTAAGACAGTTCTTGATGAAGCTTCACTGGCTCCTTAAATTTGACAGCTTACTCCAACATTACAGAGCTGTATATCACATTTATTCACTCTATTGTTCTATTACACTAACGATTCATGGTTATTTGCTGCCTCCCATCACATCCTTTCTGGTCAAGCAATTATTACAGCATTAAAAAATAGTGCACAGCAGATGCAATAAATAAAGGGAGAAAGGATTGGGGGAGGGGGGGGGGGAGAGTAAGAAACTTTACTCTTTTGCGCTAGGTTTTGAGGAGCTCCAAGACAAGAGACTTACGGGAGGCTCCAACATTGTCAAAATTTCAAGGAAACTTGAACACGCATCGGTACAAATTAATCTAGTTCGGGCCTTTTGCGATCTTTGAATCCCAGTACGGATGAGCTGCAGCTTTGTCTCTCCAGTTATAGTTTTACACGATATTATATCTACTTCTGTGCCTGAACATTGTTGCTTAGTGTAGGTCTAATAGTCTGAATTGTACTCATTTAAAAAACTGAGTGCGGCAACTTTCGAACCACGTAAGCTATCCTGTATTTTGAAAGTTTACCGATTTTGGCACCAGAATCATACCATGATATACTTTTGTTCCACTATCTATGTAGTTTCTTTCGTAAATTAAAAAGAAAACAAAACAAAAAAACAAAAAGAACCAACAACAACCCAAAGTTATGTAGCTTTTGGCCCCAACTTGATACCGATGCACTCACATCCCATGTCACCTCTACCCCTCCCCTCTCTCTTCCCAAATCCCCCTTCCCCCAATCCCCCCCCCCTCTCTCTCTCTCTCTCCCTCTCTCTCTCTCTCTCTCTCTCTCTCTCTCTCTCTCTCTCTCTCTCTCTCTCTCTCTCTCTCTCTCTGCAAAAGCAGAGATACAAAGATTGAAACATGCAAACACACATACATTTCCATCGTTAAGTGGAACAAAAATAGAAAAGTTATCAATGTTTTCGTAATTTATTCAGTTTATTTATATAATATGTTTTGGCAATTAACACAATATTGATATGTAGATCTAAATATACATATGCACGTTCAATAAATATATCTCTTTCTGGGGACAGCAAATACAGAGACAGAAGAGGTGTCATGGCTACTGCTATAAAATCACGTGAAGATAACATTGCACCAAGATATATCTTTCCAAAAACTTCAATGGCTCAATTTCATAAACAATACATTTTCACACACAAAGCATCTCCCAAGAATGAAACAAAACATGAACAATTGACCAGGGATTTATGCATTATTTTCTTAAATAAAACATTGCAATGCTTCTTTTTTATCACAGCAAAACTCCCTCTACATCTACAGTTCAGCAAAATTAGCAACAGCTGAAATTCAATAACACTGTAAGTCTTTTAGTCCTAAAAAGGTAGGACATAAGAACAAGAAAATCCCCCCCCCCCCCCCGGGAAAAAAAAAAGGGCCCCCCCCCCCCCCCCACCAACAAAAACAAACTAAAATTTTTAAAAAGTGGAGATATACTTTGACAGATTGAAGTAAAATGCAGCCAGTCAGTGCAATGAGGCAGTTGTTGGAACTTGTAAGCTAGATCCTCACAGGTATGGAATGCCATTTTTAAAGACAGATACTGTGCAGATCTGATACTCAAAACATACAGAATCACAGGTGCTGCTGTTTGGGGCTAGTGACATTAAAATTTAGTTTAAGGTTATGATTGCAAAGAAACGGCAAAACAGCGGGACGCTTCAACAATTATTAGGCCTACTGTTTCAGAAAGGGATCAAGAACAAACGAACCCCTTCACTTCCAGGCCCAAGTCTTGAGTACTGGAGCAAGTCTGGGAGTAAAAATGCATTCCTGTATTCTACAAATCTCATTTAAATGCATTAAGAAGTTATTGTATTTATTTTTGGTTAGGTTTTAGAAGTTGGATACCTCATTTTCCCCTCTCAAACAGCCTAGTCACCACCAACACTCTCGATCCCGCAACTCCAGTGAAAGAGAGCTAATCTCTCAGAGACGATCAGTACATTTGCAAAATACTGCCCTGCCCTCCACACTCTCAAATTCTCTTTTACTTTTCCTTCAGCGACTTGGATTTGATGGATTGAGCCAAGAAAGATTAACGGCATAACTTAAGTTAATTTTTAAAAGATTATATATAAATGTGCAGAAATAAGATCAGTAAGTGAAAAGCAGAATAATATCTTTGAGATTGTTTTCAATCAACAAGTACCTAAAATTGTCAAAAAGAGGGATGTGTGAGGTAGGGTAGAGTATGTTGATTTAGGGGGGGGGGGGGAGCGGATATCACCCAGAGTGAAAGGGTCTATTTGTTCAGAATATATGGGTATATGAGATGGCAAATGCTACTCATAGTCCAACCCGAGTCCAAGACAGTCTTGGGACAGGCAGAAAAGGGGTTAAGTAGTTTGTGCTCAAATGCTAGCAGACTTACTGAGCAGTCAGAAATTCGAAAAGGGGGGGGGGGGGGGCTCCGTGAGGGAATGAGGGGTCTTGGGGAGTGGGGGCACAAAAGTGGGGGGGAGGGGAATTTGTTTAGGGGTATTGGGTATAGGAGACAACAAATTCTCCCTTCTTCTTTGAAATACCCAACGAGTCTGAGACAGTCTTAGGTCGGGGGGAGGAAAAGGGGGAAATGGAGAATTTGTTAGGAGTATTGGGTATGCGAGACAACAAATTCTTCCTTCTTTTTTGAAATCACCAACGAGTCTTTAGTTTTAATAGAGGTTTTACGGCGCTCGCAACTGCATATTATTAAGGTCATATGAGCGCTAAGGGGTGGATGTCAATAGAGAAGTCCTTACAGGGAATCAGACTTACTCTGCTCACCCCTCTAGCTTCAACAGCACAAAGTCTGCTTCGACTATCAAGGCACCCCAGAAATAGTGGGTCACAAGAGTGTGACAAACATACAAAAGAAGTAGAGCAAGAATGACAATAGGAAGTATTAGGAAAGAAAAAGCAGCAGTTCCCTGTGGTAGATCAGGCACAGTTATGAGCGTGACATTGTGGGATCAGCCCATTCATAATTCTACTGTGCATGAACGAGAAATATCCCCCCTTTGGGAATGGCCTAAAGACACTTCAGTCAGTGGCACCACCCGAGGTGGGGGGGGGGGGGGGGTACCAATGAGTCTGAGAGGGGTTAAAGGAAATAAGTTTTTGATGAAGGTCAAAACCTTGATGCCAATGGAACAAACTTATATGATAGCACAACGACTTTTATGACTTTTTTTTGGGGGGGAGCTAATATAGGAACAGTTGTAAATGCAATATATGTACTAGCATTTTCATACAAATTTGAAAAGATCAAATTACTTGTTGACTCATGAAAACAGAAACAACAACACCAATACAACATAAAGATAATGCTGTCATAAAAGTAAGTTATAACTACATCTTTGATTAAAATTTTAGTGACTAAAATTAATGACAGACACAATAGAACACCACATCACTTCATTGCATGCATAAAAATAAATAATGACAACGCACATATACATATATTATATTCACTTAAATCCAGCAGATTGTATGGCAAAACAAAGGGCAACAGGCACTGGTTTCCAGATATATTTCTGTTGCACATATCTATACCAATATTATTTTGGGAGTGCTGTACTTGTCTTTAGTTGTCACTCTTGACAGCGAACTTTCTCAAAAAATATCAAATGTCATTGCTATCATTCTTACCCTCATAAACTGAGACAGATGTGTGCTCTATTCAGCGAACTTCAGCTTGGCTTCCTTTAGAATATCTGAAAACGTATCATGTTGGATCAAAGGTAAAAAGTAAAAAGTCAGTTTAGTTTTAGTTCGAGTTTTATGGCACTTGCAACACAATAAGGTCATTTAAGTGCCGAAGATTAGAAGCATTACAAGAGAGTAACAAACCGACAAAAAAGAAGGAGAGATCAGGACGCTAGATGTTTGATAGGAAAGAAGGAGCAAATCACACCAGAGCACTCACCAACCACCTGCACATTAAAAAGTAAGATGGAGGTTGGCTCACAAAATAATGTTAGAATTAAAGGAAAAACATAATTGGTCGCTTTTAAGCACAAAATGTTGTTTTGAAAAAATCTAAGGTAAAGTTTTTGTCCCTTGTTCAGTTTCATTTAAAGTCAAAGAGAGTTTTCTCTATAACCAAACAAATATTATATACACAACAAAGAAACCAAACTTCTCCTATAGGTAGGGCAATGCCCACTTTTGGTGTAGGTCAGGATTTCAGGAAACCCCCGAAATCTGGATTAGTCTTCTTGTCCTTAAAAGCGCCCAATTGTAGTCGTACACATCAGAGCTTGGGTGAATAATATCACAATGGTTTGGTAAAAAATCTATAAATTCTTTTCAAAACAATCTTGATAGTTGTGACTGGGGGCCATTTATAAGTTTTTGACACTCACTTCTTCAACACAACTTGGGTCCACTTGGAAGCAGTTCAAGTAAATAACTTTACCACACTATTGTCTCATCAGCTTTGATGGATTTGATAAGTAGACACTCACAACTCTTATCTTTATCCAACTCAAACACGTGTGGGTTAATACAGTGGATGAACCACTTCAATTAAATGATCACTTGAACCCAAAAACAACTTCCCTGATAGAACAAGAGAAAAGTACAACAAAGATATAAAGAGAAAGGATATGAAATCACAAGAAATAGAAAAAACAAAAGAATAGTATAGGATTTTAGAAAAAAATTCTAACTTGTCAATGTCATCCTCCCTCCACCTGCACCAATCATAATAGTTCATTTTTCTATGCATTGGATTAAAATACACAACGTATATTATGTAAACTTGATCTCAAGATTTTGGTTTTTTTCCACATTCATCATAATAAATACACAACACACATCACATCAAATGCTTATAAAAATAGGGATCTATTACTAAACAATATAACAAATGCAGAGGAACTTTTGCTTATTCTTTGGTGAAGTTGGTAAACTCAGCTTCCTTTCTTTCACAGCCAGAGATCTGATGTATTTCTAACCACTTTCAAGACCTCAAAAAGTTTTGCTGAAATAATAAAAAATCATCATTCCAAACCAAGAACAAGACAAAGCAGTTCAGATTGTGACATTAACCATACAGTTGATGTTGATATGGGCTGTAGTCAATGCCATACGCAGGTCGGCGAGGTGGGTGGTACAACAGGCCCTCGTAGCGTCGGAAAACCTTTTCCCCCTGGTCAGGAAATCGGGTGGCTAGAAGGTGTTCCTCCAAGGGCGTTGGCAGTGGAATGTGAAGTTTGGTCTTTGGCTTGGTCACCAGAACATAGCGACTGGAAAAGAAGAGACAGCACTTTTGTTATAAAACAACATACTGCATGAATTGCACGTTTCAGTCGCTAAAAGGAGAAAAGATCCAGACGCAAGTTTAGTATATATAACAAAGAGCAGTTGGTATTCAGATCAAAAGCAAATGAAATATCAATATTATTATAGATACAATTTAGAAACTTTGAAAAATTACCTTTCAAACCATACTCATCTATATTGGTAAAAGGTATAAAAAGTTTTCGCCTGCACTTGATGTATTGAACTGGGGAAGATTTTTTCTAGATTTCTAAATGAGCAAAGGTCCCAATGATGAGTGGTAAGTAAAAAAGCCCAACATTATATTCCAGAACCAAGTACCTTCAGTAGAAATAAGAAACAGTTTGTCATATGCAGGTAACAAACGGAAAAGAAGATGGTCAGAGTATTACCACAACAAAAAAATACTTGACTCAAACTATTGAAAGTTATACAGACTTTGGATTCAAACTCATTCTGCTATTTTATAACGGATAAATAAAAAAGGTCTGCAAACAGTGTAACCATGAAACATATATGCTCATCAGGTGTGCTCTTCTCAAACACACACACGCAACCTAAAAGATGTGCTCTCCTGAAACACCCATCCAACCTATAAGGTGGGCTCTCCTCAAACAGACACACACACAATTTATAGAGTGTGCTCTCTTCAAACACTCACCCAACCTATAACGGTGTGCTCTCTTCAAACACACAGGAGGTGTGCTACAATCAAACACACCCCAAACAGTATGCTCCACTCCTCAAACAGACCACCACAGAGCATACTCTACTCAAATTAAGACCCATGAGGCAAGCTCTTTTAAAACACACACCCAAGAGGCATGCTCTCCTCAAAAACACAGTTGCAAGGCAAGCACTAGATTTTTTTCAACATGCCAACAATATCTCTCATTAAAAGCCCACTCCGAACATTTCTTCTTAACCTGCAAAGCAAGCTCAGCTTCTCCTCTTCCCTCGACAAGGTCATAATATATAGAGAGACACTCACTGGCATTTGCTGGGTATGGACTTGCTTGATTTGGGTCGTACAGCACGTGGGTTACGTGGGTCCAGCAGCCACGGGTCAATGGAGGGAGGCTGGTCAGCTCCACTCTCCATCTCACCATCATGAGGGCTCTCCTGTGGTCTGATTCGACATCTGCTGGAAAAGGAATGAAATAGTTACCATTGGCTTTTCCCCCCTTCTTCTTCTACTTCAGTGTTACTTTGATAATAAATTTTGTTCTAGGGTGCATAACCATAATATACAATATGCACTAAACTTGAGAACCTTTAAAACAGCATTTATATAGATTTTCTGATTTAGTCATACTGGCCTGAGTTTTATCAGTTTTGGGCAGCCATCTATTTTAAATAATCCTGGTATTCTTCTTTCAACTACCAAGGTGCAAAGTGTCTAAAATGTGTGCTACTCATACACTGGACCCAGTATTGAACCTCATCTTATCAATAAAGATACATTTGCAGGGTAAAGCACTGCCATGTTGGCAAATAATCTTGACAGATTAAACTTTGGGAAGATGAAGGTGTTCCAAGAACCAGTCAGAGGTGTGATCTCTTCTTAAAATTGTATGTAGCAGCACTAATTTAATCAGAATAAATGAAATAGGAAAAATCATAACTTTACATCTTCTTAAAGTTGAATCTTTAAGGATGTAGGGAACATATCCAATTAGTAGAAGACCAATGGTAACATTGCGTTATATTTTGAATTGTCAAACAGAAATCAGAAACACGAACTTGCATATTTTATGGTGTTCAAAATGTTCCCCACTTTTAAAGTTTCAGATTAAGAAAACAGAATTGAAAAATCTGTAAGAATAACAAAATCCCCAAAACAATACACATCTTCAAGTGTTGCTGAATGACCAAAATGTACATTCTCAATCAGTTAATGTTCCTGACATCTTACCTGAAAGGTTTCTCACTGCCAAGAAGAGCTTTTCCTCGAAGGTTGTTCTCAACCTCCTGCTGTCGCGTTCTGGCTTCAAGAAGCTGCTGCATTTGTTGCCGCATCGTCATTGGACCCTGCCCTGGAAGCTGTTGTCCTTGATGCTGTAGAGCATACAGCTGCTGCTGTTGTGGTGACGCTGTAATCAATGGTTGCGAATGTCTGTAGATCCCTGTGGCTGTGTGTGGACGCGATGACTCAGGTGTTGGGGCTGGGAACATGTTAGATGGCCTTGACCCATGAACTGTGCTGGCACGGGCAGGTGTGGGGCGTGGGTCATGCGTACGCACTGAAAGATTCAAGAAAGTGGAATAAAATACACTGTTTCATACAATATTTCAATCAAATTCAGCACTACACTTCTGACGGAATATATTTCACTCGTGACAGCTTTATATTGCACTTGTGATAAAAATGTGAACATAGACAGAATTATTGCGCGATAATACAGGTTCCAGGTTTGAAGTCAGCTCATCATTGTCATTTCAGCATTTTTTAAAGTGAATAAATAACTTGTGTTAAGTGTAAGTGGTGAGAAAACATTTCCATAACCTTTTCCTCTATCTTTGTTGGATTCTTTCATTTGTTGACTTTTTATCATTTTTAATTCCATGGAGATATTATGTTAATTAGGAGATGCACAAACTAAGAATGGCATCTTTATGGGAACGTAAAAAGGTGAAAAAACTATTAAAAGACAAAGCTACTAACAAGGTAGGATAAGGATTATTTAAAGTTTTAAAAAAACTTGAATAATTTTTAAAAATGACATTACTAGAGATATGCAAGACATCCAAATAAATGAAAGTCCTCCAAGACAAATAAGAGTCTCATTTTTCTTCCAATTAGAGCCAGTCCATCTCCTCGCTCTTCACAGGACCAAGTTCCTCCTATCCCACAAAAAGGATTTGAACACAGACTCTGAACCCCCTGAAAGTTTGGTGAGAATTTTTTTCATTCACAAATCTGCATTGAATTTTTTCAGTAAGACAAAGCTGTCTGAGACACCTACTTTCAAAGCTTTGTTTCCTTTTAAATAGGTTTTTTTTTCAAGGCTTACAGCTTGATCAGCCTACAGGATACACATTTTTCAGAACTCTTGTTTTCACTGTGCATTTCTGTGGTTTCTGGTGGTGGCATACCTGCTTGCACATGCTGAGCCCATTTCTCTTGCTTCCTCATTTCCATGAGCTGACGTCGTTTTTGTGCATTTTGAGACCGTAGTTCTTTCTGCATGCGGATCAACATGTGCCTAGAGAGAGCCACGGGGAGGGCAGCAAGGAGAAGAATCATTTGTTTAAAGAGCAATCAGCGGTATAATGGATGAAGCTCCTCATTTTTATACAAAGAAGGTAAGTATGGTTCCTGTTTGGGAAGACATTTAGTTGTGTCTGTCTTTCATAAGGAATGCACAGAGTGGATTGACCCTGAAATGCAATCTGCCTCCCTAGATAACAAACTTACATTGATAGGAGTGTGAAGTATGTACAAACTTTTCTGATTTAAAAAGAAACCAATCAATAGGATAATTAGGCTATCAGTTGTTTTTCGTCAAGATGCAGTCTATGCCAAGTCAACATAATAATGGTCATATTTAAAAAGAAGCAACTTAGGATAACTTTGACTTTGAAATGAAGTAAAAGTAATCTATATTACCTGAGCATCCATCAACCATCAATACATAAACAAAAACAGTGTACTACAGATTGTTTTGTGTTATGTTTGATTTGAGGCAAAAAGATGTAAGCCTCTGTAATGATCACCACTATAAAGGTTTGGTCATAATGGTGATAATGACAGTCAAAATGATGGATATCATTATAAACATACTGATGATCAACAGCCAAGCCATAACAATGTTCAAAACTTCAGTCAAAATGATAAACATAATGATAGTCACAATGATGATCATAAAGCAGCCATAATGACTGTTCAAACTACACAAGCTGAATAAAAAAAATTAAAACAGAACAAATAACAAAAGGAGTGTAACAACAGCACCTTTGTGTCCCTCTCTAAACTATCGCAAACCTCACCTTTCAATCTGCCTCTCATGCCAGTTCTCCGAGAAGGCCATGTCGTCATTTCGGTATAGCTGGTCACTGGCTAAATTTGAGCTGGGAATGAACAAATAGCACTCACACGAATACACACACACATACACACACACATACACAGAGTTGAAAAAAACTTTCTGGAGTAGCAGTGGTGGAAAAGAAAGTTGTGGAATTTCATAATCTTCTACTTAGAATATCAGCCAAATGAAGAGTTAAATTTCTAAAGAGGGAGCATTCATTGTTGTGGCTTTTGACATAAAAAGTTAGTTTGCTGATCTTTTTTTCGACTACGAAATCAATGATGATGATGATGATGATAATGGGTGAAGACAATACAAAAATGATGATGATGATGATGATGATGATGATGATGATGATGATGATGATGATGATGGTGGTGATGATGATGGTGATGATGATGGTGACACGATGCTGACCTTGCTAACCGTCGGTAGTTGACCAGCGAAGAATCAAAAGCCTGCTGGAGATCCTGAAAAGCATGCAGGGAGGGGGGAAAGTGAGGAGGGGTTCGGGGTCGAGGTGAAGCCATATAAGAATATGAGATATATGGTCTTGATCAAATGTATTGAAAAATGCCAGATGCAAGATCACAAGTTCACCTGTGATGGCCACAGATTTGAGGAAAACAAGAACTTAAAAGGGTGGCAGTCAGGGTATGGATCAGATGTTTGGTAGAACGATAAAAGGAAAGAGTGGTGTTTGACAAAGCGTTTGTACTGTTTGAGTTAAATACGTTAAAGAGGATCTGTGGGCATGTGTGTATTTCTCATGGCCTGTATGAGGTTAACGCCCTCCTAGGTACATAAGATAATTTCTCAGGTTGAGAACTAGGATTTGGAGTCGGAGGAAAGAAGAAGAAAAACAGACAGAAACAATAAACTGAAGTAAATATCTCAAGTAAAAACATGAGCACTGAAGTTGACGTGTGCCTCTGTACAATTAGATGTGCTGCACCTCCTTCTGGAGTGCAATCGGTCTGGTGATTGCCTTTCACACCATTGAGGAAATGGATGTGATATGGAGTTGGACAGCAATGAGAAAGAAAAAAAACCCTTTAAAAAAGCTCACGTTCAGAAACGTCCTGTTGGAGATTCGAACCAGGATATATCTCCCATACTAAGCCTAGTTGTCAATGATGACACCAAATGAACTAACGGCTCGTACTTGATTCAAATAAACATAAGAATAGATTAACATAATATTGTATTATTGATAGATGTGATACACAACAAGATAGTGGGTCGCTTGGACAGAGCACGGCTACCAGCCACACCCTCTAAAATCCCATCGGGACGGGCTTAGTTAAAGACTTAAGGGGTTGGGGGGGGGGGGGGGGGGCTACAACTGAAGGCTATCTCGCTTATTATTGGACCAAATTTTACCAAATTTCACACATATAACAAGCATAGTAAGGAGTCTTAAAACCTGTAATCAAATTTGAGAAAAACGTTTTGTTTCCATGGATACGGCGGCCATATTGGATTTTATTGACATGTCATACGTAATGAATACCGCACTTATTGCTTATGGAAATTGATTGTCTTTACGCATGCGTGTTAACAAACATTAGATCTAAAAATTTGTCTGTTGTTTTTTCCTAAATGAATTAGAAAATTTTTTAATGGATTTTTTTCCTGAGGTAGCATTCAAGTTTGCAAACAATCAGTGAAAATCCACACTCCAGACACCATAAAAAAAAATCTATTCCATATATCAAAAATTCAACAAAAAAATTTATAGTATTACATCTTCTCTTCATTCTGTGAAAATTTCACGAACATTGGATGAAAAATGGAGGAGTTATTAAAAAAAAGTAAGGAGAAAAGTCGAGGCTTGAGAAAACGGCCGATAAAGAAAAAACAAATTGACTTTATGAGAAAAAGGTGGCGACAAACATGCCCGGTATATTGGGGGTTCTTATGCGATGAAATAGTTGTAGGAGTGGCTGAGGAATCTAAAAATGCCTACAACTCAAATTCCATAATTTTTAGCCGAATCGGGACTTTGGGGGTGTAGTCCCCCCTCCCCCTTAAAAAAAAACAACTGACACTAATTTCAGAGCGACTGGAAGATAGACGGACAAACATTTATCTGAAGTTATGTCACACATACGGTAGTTTTATCATTTACTTGTATCACACAGACAAGGAAGACACCACTGTGCACTTGAATAGTGACGTGCACATACCTCGACAATCATTGCAGAGACAAACTATTACAAAAGTTGTGGTGTCCTCAACGTTGCCACAAATTGCGATGATTTGGTTAGGTGAAAG